AGCACTTGTCTCATGCACCCAACCTGGGCTGGTGATCTGTTTCACCCTAGATAATATACATGTTTCGATGCTGTTCTCTTGAAACATCCCACCCTCGCCTTCTCCCAGAGTCCACAAGTCTGTTCTATACATCTGAGTCTCTTTTTCTGTTTTGTATATAGGGTTATCGTTACCATCTTTCTAAATTCCATATATATGTGTTAGTATACTGTAATAGTCTTTATCTTTCTGGCTTACTTCGCTCTGTATAATGGGCTCCAGTTTCATCCATCTCATTAGACTTTTTGTCTTTTCATACTGTTCATATATGTAGTGTACCAAAATGTAAATAATGTATCTAAGTAGGTATTCTTATTTAATCTCGCAAAGAACCTCTATTACAGTAGATACTGTTGTTATCCATGTATTATAGTTGAAGAAAGTGAGGATTAGTGGTTCTTCAGCTTGCCCAAGTTCTCATAATTAATAATATGGCATTAAGAAGGTTGGGATTCAAAGCCAGTCTGACACTAAAACTCACTCTATTGTTTTGTTGTTAATACTTCCTGATTGCATAGTTTCAGTGAATATAGCAAACATCTTTTAACCATACTGAAGCTGTTGATTTTCTATATTTCTCTTTTGTGCTGAGTATCTTATATTTGTTTAATTTTCTTCTCATGATGTATTTCCCGACTCTTTCTTTACTTTTTGCATCTCTCCTGGGTTTTGTGACGGGGCCAAATGTGGACGCTTTTGGCATAGGATTTTAGGCTTTTCTCTCAGAACATCTTCCAAGGTCTGTCAGGTTATTTATTGAGGGCTTTCTCCACTAAGGGCCTTAGTAAGGATAGTAGAACTTAAATATCAGGTCCTAAAATGGTAACATGCTATTTCCAATAGTCTTTTTGCCTTTTGGCTTTATTAACTTAATGAATATTGGCGTTATGAAGAATACCTTCATGTCTATTTTGCTGGCATTTTGGCTGTGAAGATAGCCTTCTAGGTTCTGCTCCACTGGTTTTATTTCTTCCTTTTTTCCGAGGCTGTCATGTGAGTAGAAAACAAAGCCATATCATATTCTCAGGAATCTCTTTGAGGCAGGGTGGCCCTTTTCTTAGAGAATTTGTCTCATTGCCTCAGCCTTTTAATATCTGGACTTACGGTACTTGTATTTGCCAGTGGCTAGTTCATTTCTCTGAGGAGGCCATGGCACCCCACTCCAGTACTCTTGCCTGGAAAATCCCATGGACAGGGGAGCCTGGTGGGCTGCAGTCCTTGGGGTCACGAAGAGTTGGACACGACTGAGCGACTTCACTTTGACTTTTCACTTTCATGCGTTGGAGAAGGAAATGTTAACCCACTCCAGTGTTCTTGCCTGGAGAATCCCAGGGACGGGGGAGTCTGGTGGGCTATCGTCTGTGGGGTCACACAGAGTTGGACACGACTGAAGCGACTTAGCAGCAGCAGCAGCAGCAGTTCGTTTCTGCTAGTGAAGTCAGTTTGAGCAAACAGTATTCAGGTTGGGTTGAAAGTTAGAGGAGGAGTAATTTCTGAAAGGAATATGTGTCTGTGAAGCTCTCATTTCTGTCTTGCTTTTGTACACTGGGGGTCTCTCCTTTTTCCTGGGGCTGCTATTAATATCTCCTACTTCCCCTGTTTCTGCTTTTCTTCAGTGATAATCATTTTAATTTTCTTTGTCATTTTTCTGAGGACCACAGGTGAAATATGTGTCCTTTGGAGTGCTCTTTTAGTCAGTTGTAATCCTTTGGGTAGCAACACTCTAACTTGTGTTTGCATGGGGTAGATCTTATGAAGACTTTATAGAATGTTCTTGATCCTAAAAAGGGTATGTTCAGTGTTTTATTTTGATGTACCGTCATGGTAGCAGTTTGATGTATTATGTGGAAATTATATACTAATGTTTAGTCTTCTTTTTATAGGTGCCTTATTCCTCTGGCATGTCCATGAAGAAAATAGGTCACCGAGGTGTTGATTCCTCAGGAGAGACAACATATAAAAAGGTGCGTCTGAGTGGAACCCTTTCATCTTATTCCAGGAAGGGCTAGTTTTGTCTCTTTGATTATGTTCTCCACATTCTGTCCCATTTCTTGATACCCTAAACCTTTGCACAATAGCCATTATACAATTTGAATTTTAGAATTTACATCACAAAGGGTGAGTTATCTAAACACACATCTGTATATGTGTTTAAATGAGAATGTTCTTAATGGACAAATCTGATGTTAGATGAATTTTCACTGAGCTGAAGCAATTGAGTTTCCCTGTTAAGATGTAAACATGTAATGGCAACCCACTTCAGCATTCTTGCCTGGAAAATCCCTTGCATAGAGGAACTGGGTGGGCTACAGTCCATGGGGTCACAAGGAGTCGGACACAACTTAGTAACTAAACAAACAAATAGCAATAAGCCCTCAAGGCCATTTTTACCTAGCTTTGGGGAACCATGTCTTTTGAAGTTTGTCTGTCTTTGCTCTGGTGCTGGATGTACACAAAATGAAGGCTGGATCCAATTCAGCCTGGTGATATAGACAGCAGGTCAAATGTGTTTCTTTCTTTGTGTGTCTTTTTTTGGGGTTTTTTTTTTTTGTTCTTTTTTTTTTTAGTTCTACCAGTTTATTGCTACCCTCCACCCTCGTGCACACATGCTCAGTCATGTAACCCCATGGACTGCAGCCCGCCAGGCTCCTCTGTCCATGGGCTTTTTCAGGCAAGAATACTGGAGTGGGTTGCCATTTCCTTCTCCAATCTTTTTTGTTTTTTAAATATTTATTTGTTTGTTTTTGGCTGTGCTGAGTCTTTGTTGCTTTGTGGACTTTTCTGTCCTCGTGGTGAGCAGGGGCTACTCTCATAGTTGTGCTGTGCGAACTTCTCATTGGGGTGGCTTCTCTTGTTACAGAGCACGGGTTCTAGAGCTCACGGGCTTCAGTAACTGTGCCACATAGGCTCAGGAGTTGTGGTTCCCAGGCTCCAAAGCAGAGGCTCAATAGTTTGGCGCCCAGGCTCAGCCATTCCACAGCATGTGGGATCCTCCTGGACCAGGAATCAAACGTGCGTCCTCTTCATTGGCAGGCAGATTATTCATCACTGAGCCGCCAGGGAAGCTCCTAGGTTTTGTTTTTTTAAGATTATAGTTTCAGTTGGTGAATAGAGCCTAGAGCACCTGATTTTGAGCTAGAGATATCAAATGGATTGAAAAGATAGCAGTAATAACCAAGAAGAGAAAATTGAACTGGTGAAGGGAAAACAGAAGAGAAGCATCCTGGAGTGATCCAGTTCTTCAGTTCTGGACTAATTGGAGATGCTTAGGTTTCCTGGGGTAGAGTGTTAAACCCCTATATGGCACCTGTACCTTGTCTGGCCCATGTCAATTTTCTTGTGTCTGTTTTCTGTCTTACCGCGTTGTCCAGAGTGACAGAGGTAGACTCACTCATTCTCTGTCAGGGACCTGACTTTTCCCAGGAATGGGCTCTGAGGCCCATGTCAATTCAGCAGACATTTATTGAGCTCATTTTATGTGCTGAACACTCAGACAAAAAGCTGAGTTTCTAGTCTAAGAGAGGCAAGCACTTAAAAAATTAATTATAATTTTAATGCCCCATGAGGACTAAGTAGAAAGACAAGTAGTACTTGGTAAGGGTTGGGGATAGGGAAATAGCTTAGAACAAAACTGTCCAATAGAACTTTCTACAGTGATTGAAATGTGCTATATTGTGTTATCCAGTGTGGTAGCCACTAATCATACCTGAATGTGTCTAGCAAAACTAAAGAAGTGATTTTTAAATTTAATTTAATTAACAGAATTAAATAGCAAAGTGTGGCTACTAACTACTGTATTAGATAGCACAGATCTAGTTAATATGACATTTTCTCATGACATTGGAATCCTGGATTGCAAGAATGGGGCTCTTGTATTTGTATTTTGACCATAGTATGATAATGGGCTTCCCTGGTGGTTCAGATGGTAAAGAATCCACCTGCAATGCAGGAGACCTGGGTTCAATCCCTGGGTTGGGAAGATCCCCTGGAGGAGGGCATGGCAACGCCCTCCAGTATTCTTGCCTGGATAATCCCCGTGGACAGAGGAGCCTGGAGCGCTATAGTCCATGGGGTCACAAGGAGTCAGACACAAATGAGCGACTAAGCACACATACATGATAATTTTAAAGCTAAATATTTCTCTCAGAAATAATTGTAATTTTTCAGGCTTTTTTTATCTGTTAGTAGCTTTTTTTTTGCCACTCTTGGCCTTGGGACATCACTCAGGCCTGGCCTTAGAGGACTGAGCTTCAGTCAGTCAGAATATCATTTAATTTTAGTTACATTCTGTATCTGATGAATAAAATGTTTGGAGGACTTTGTATCCTCCGGGGGCAGGAACCTTTGGAGTGAGACCTAAGATTGTTCTCTCATTTCAGTGTATCTTGCAGAGGTAGATGTGGGTTGGAGAGAACACTGTGCCTAGTGAAGGCTGGCTCCCACAGTCACACCTTCGCTACTCTGTGTCTTCATGCCTCTCCAGTCTTTGCAGGCTTCACTGCCATGTGAAGCCATGAAGGTGGCGAAATTGGATTGCCCAGAGGGCATTTGCTTTCCTTTGTTTCTTCTGGTTCTTCTCTCCTGAATTTTTACTGCCATAATCAGATTTAATACTAGAAACTTTCCTCTTGTTTCAGACAACCTCATCAGCCTTAAAAGGTGCCATCCAGTTAGGCATTACTCACACTGTGGGAAGCCTGAGTACCAAACCAGAGCGGGATGTCCTCATGCAAGACTTCTATGTGGTGGAGAGTATTTTCTTCCCAAGGTACAGTGGTTAATTAATGTTCAGAAGAATGTCCTGGAAAATGTGGCTTTTTTATATCAACATTAGGACATTTTAGAGATTCGTCCCTAATTTAGGCATGCATCCACTCCTTAGCCTGATTTTAATCAGTGTGATGTGGGACTGGAGAATTTGGACAGCAGATGGTGTACTTTGGATGCTTGTGTGAGCCTCTGGCCTGTGGACTGAGCCCTGAAAAGCAATTCAGGGCATTGGGTAGGAGGTAATATGATTCCCTGCCCCTTGTCTTAATCCCTGTGTTGCACCTTTGTCCCATTATGTAACTGACTGATCCAGTCCCTTTGGTCCTCTCAGGAGGCATGTATTGACTTGGCTCTGGGTGACATGCCTCCTGAGAGAACCAAAGGGACTCCCTAAATTATAGGGACTGGTAAGTTATGGCTTCTTCTATTTAACCCCACAGTGAAGGCAGCAACCTGACCCCTGCTCATCACTACAATGACTTTCGATTCAAGACCTACGCACCTGTTGCCTTCCGATACTTTCGGGAGTTATTTGGTATCCGGCCTGATGATTACTTGGTAAGCTTCCAGACCTCAGGACTCTGGGCTTCCAGTATCAGAAGAGTACTTCCAAAGGAAGACCTCTTCACATTCTTGATCTTATTTTTTATTTTAGAGTAGCATTGCATCTGTAGTTGATTTCTGATTGGGGAGGCCCTGGTATCTCTTAACCTCTTGCTTTCTTTTCTTTGGGCCCTAGTACTCCCTCTGCAATGAACCACTGATTGAACTCTGCAACTCTGGGGCTAGTGGTTCCCTCTTCTATGTGTCCAGTGATGATGAATTCATCATAAAAACAGTCCAGCACAAAGAGGCGGAGTTTCTGCAGAAGCTACTTCCAGGATACTACATGGTGAGAGGACAAGGAGCACCGACTGCATGAGCTGCCCACTCCACTCCTGGACAAGGCTGGGGAGGTTGACGTCAGGGGGAAAGCAATGTCAGCGCTTCTGTCTTAGGGATATAGTTCATCTTTGTGCTTTTGGTCCCATCTCCTTTGCCTCTCTATGGCTAAAGGGGGTTTTGTTTATCTGTCCTATTTTAAGTGTTACCTAGCTTAGATCTTCCTACCGAAGACAAAATTCAGTAATGTTTATTTATTTATTTAGAGTATAGTTGATATACAATGCTGTGTTAATTTCTGATGGACAGCAAAGTGTGTCAGTTATACATACACATAATGTCTACTTTTTCTTTAGATTCTATTCCCATGTCTGGGTCATTACAGAGTATTGAACAGAGTTCCCTGGTTTATTCAGTATATTCTTATTAATTATCTATTCTGTTTATGCTACTGCTGAGTCATGTCAGTCATGTCCACCTCTGTGCGACCCCATAGGTGGCAGCCCACTAGGCTTCGCCATCCCTGGGATTCTCTAGACAAGAATGCTGGAGTGGGTTGCCATTTCCTTCTCCAGTGCATGAAGGTGAAAAGTGAAAGTGAAGTCATTCAGTCGTGTCCGACTCTTGGCGACCCCATGGACTGTAGCTGACCAGGCTCCTCTGTCCATGGGATTTCCCAGGCAAGAGCACTGGAGTGGGTGCCATCGCCTTCTCCCTGTTCTATTTATAGTAGTGTGTATATGTCAATTTCAATCTCCCAATGTATGCCCTTCCCTTTCCCTCTGGTAACCACAAGTTTTGTTTTCTACATTGATGACTCAACTTCTATTTTGAAATATGTTCATTTTTACCATTTCTTTATATTCCACTTAAAAGTGTTATATATTTGTCTTTCTCTGACTGACTTCACTCAGTATGACAGTCTCTAGGTCCATCCATGTCACTGCAAATGGCATTGTTTCATACTTTTTTTTTTTAATGGCTGAATAATTGTTCGTTATGGGGCTTCCCAGGTGGCACAGGTGGTAAAAGAATCCTCCTACCAATGCAGGAGATGCAGGAGATGTGGGTTTGTTCCCTGGGTTGGGAAAACCCCCTGGAGTAGGAAATGGCATCCCACTGCAGTATTCTTGCCTGGAAAATTCTGTGGACAGAGGAGCCTAGCAAGCTATAGTCTATGGGGTTGCAAAGAGTTGGACACCACTGAGCGCACACACAAAGTCCATTGTACGTATGTACCAAATCTTAATCCATTCCTCTGTCAGTGGACATATAAGTTGCTTCCATGTCATGGCTATTGTAAATAGTGCTGCAATGAACATTGGGGTATGTGTATCCTTTCAAATTAGGATTTTCTCTGGATATATGCCCAGGATTGATATGGCTGGATCATATGGTAACTCTAGTTTTTTAAGGGACCTCCATACTACACTCCATTAGTAGCTATACCAGTTTACAGTCCCACCAACAATGTAGGAAGGTTCCTTTTTCTCCACACCCTCTCTGTCATTGTTTGTAGATTTTTTGATGATGGCCATTTTGAACTATGTGAGGTGATACGTCACTGTAGTTTTTCTGATTTGCATTTCTCTAATAATTAGTGATGTTGAGCATCTTTTCATGTGCCTCTTGGCCATCTGTATGTCTTTGGAGAAATGTCTGTTTAGATCTTCCACCCATTTTTTGATTGGGTTGTTTTTTGTTGTTGTTATTGACCTGCTTGAGCTGTTTGTATATTTTGGAGATTAATTGCTTGTTGGTTGCTTCATTTGCAAATATTTTCTCCCATTCTGGGGATTTCCTTTTATTTTGTTGATGTTTTCCTTTGCTGTGCAAAAGCTTCTAAGTTTAATTAGATCCCATTTGTTTTATTTTTGTTTTTATTCAGTGATGATTTTGCTTTCCATTCTTAGTCCAGCTCCTAAATCAGGGAATGAGGTTGGTTACTTCTCTTGATAGTACTATATTCATTCTTATTGATACCTCTTGGAGGTTCTGGAGAAGTTAGGGAACTCTCCTTTGCCTCCCATCATACTCAACAAAAATATACTGTAAAGAAGGCTAAGGGTTAAGACTTTTTCAGTGCTGTCTTCCCTTAAACCTCTCTAAAGGAATATATTCATCATATGTGTAGTATCCTGACTGCTTAGTATATGGGAGGATCTGCTACGTGGCTTGGTGGTGATACCATTATTGAGATAGATACATTGGAAAGTTTTAAAACAATTACAATATGGGCTTCTGGGCAGGCAGATTGTCTGAAATCCCATGAGCAGACAGAGGAAGGTGGGTGGCAGGTTTTGCCCTTGAGCTTCACTGAAAATCAGCTGACTTGCTCTTCTGCTGCTTTTTAACTTTCTTGCCCTCAGAACCTCAACCAGAACCCTCGGACTTTGCTGCCTAAGTTCTATGGACTGTACTGTGTGCAGGCAGGTGGTAAGAATATTCGAATTGTCGTGATGAACAATCTCTTACCACGGTCAGTCAAGATGCATATCAAGTATGACCTCAAGGGCTCAACATACAAAAGGCGAGCTTCCCAAAAAGAGCGAGAGAAACCTCTCCCTACCCTTAAAGATCTGGACTTCTTACAAGACATCCCTGATGGGCTCTTTTTGGATGCCGATATGTACAATGCTCTATGCAAGACCCTGCAGCGTGACTGTTTGGTAAGTTTGTCATACTTCCTTCTCTCTCAGGCACCAGAAATCTCAGTGACTAAAACAGCTTGGTGGTTCTAAGGCATTTAATCTGTAAGAGATGGGACTCTATTTTTCAGTATGTGTCAAACTTCATTTACAGTATCTTTTACATTAGCTCATTTATGTCTTTACATTTTTACTTTCTCCCTGTTGGTCTAACTCTCCTCCCTGTCTTTGTTTTTCCTCTACCTGTCCTGGGCCTCATAATCATACATTCTCCTTGTTTCCATACCAACACCATCACTGCTCAGATTTTGATCCTGCCTGCCAATTCAAATTTATACCTTGGAAGCTGAGTGCTGCTGGAAGAAAAAAAATCACAGCTATGTATACTGGCATCTCTACAGGTTATTTAATACCATTAAAAGAATTATATATTTGGCTGTACCAGGTCTTAGTTACAGCATGCTGGATCTTCAATCTTTGTTGTATGCAAGATCTTTAATTGTGGCATGTGGATCTCCTTCCCTGACCAGGGATCAGACCCAAGCCCCCTGCATTGGGAGCATGGAGTGGTAGCCACTGGACCATCAGGGAAGTTCCTCTATAGATTTCTGATATCCAGTTCCACTTGGGCCATCAGTGTTGCTCATTAATGCATTTCCTGTTTCTCTCAGAGATTCCAAGTGATTGGTACTCTCTCCAAACAATTTTGTAACTCCCATCCCCCCAGCCTTGTTTCTCAACAAGCTACCTCAACTTTCTATTCTGTAGCATCCCTTCATCTTGCCCCCATCATCAACTTAAAGTGTAGGAGAATTTTTTTCAATGTCTTCATGTAATGATGCCTTCCTTTCTCCTTTGCCTTTTTCTTCTCTTCCTGCCTTAACCCTCTATGTCCTGGCTTTTGCTCGCACCACTTCCAGTTGAATTGCTCTCTCCAATGACCACCTGTATGCCAAGTAGAGAGTACTTCTTAGTCCTTCCTTGAGTTTTCTGCAGTGTTTGACAGTTGATTGTTTCCACTTTCTTAATGTCTTTTGGGTTTTGTGATATCTTTCCCTTGTTTTTCCACATCTTTTTTTTTTTTTGCAAGCTGCTTTTGTAGGATTGTCATCTACTCAGTCCATAGTGTTATCATCCTTGCTTTCCTTTGCTTACTTTGCCTCTTCTTCCAGGATAATGCCCATTTTAGTTTGGCTCTTTTGGTTGTGAGAACTGGATACTTGGTGGAGCAGAGAGGTTTTGTAAATTACACATAAGAATCAGTCCTGTATTCTCTTTATCCTTTACCCACCTATCAAAACAGCCTTGGGTGAGCTATACCACCAAAGTGAGCTATTGGAGCTGGTGGAAGTATACCCGGTTGAGAACTGGAGAGACAGTCCACACTTTTTTTTTTTTCAGTCCACACTTTTTAATCATCAGGCCTGGCATTGTCCTTCCCCTACCATCCTCTCTCATATGCCAAGCACCTACAGTTTGCCTCACCAGACTCTGGATGTGAATTTGAGCAAATTCCAGGAGATAATCAGGGACAGGGAAGCCTGGCATGCTGCAGTCCCATGGGGTCACAAAGCGTTGGACATGACTTAGTGACTAAACAGCAACACCAGATTTTACCCATCTGCTCGTGGCCTGCTATTTCATGCCTCCAGGCCTTGGCATTATTGCATTATTCTTTCTTTCCCTTGTTTGCATGCATTTATTTTCTTTCTAATCTATCCCTCATAAACCTATTTATATACCTCCTGACCACCTCTGTAGTATTCCTCAACCATGTATGCACTTCTGTTATTACACATACTAGACTGTATTGTATTTATTTTTATGTTTGTTTCCCTTACTAAATTACGATATCCATGAGGACAGATGGTCTCTTAAGTGTCTGTATCCACACAAGCAGGCACAGAGCCTACAGATGGTGAGGCTTCAGCAGATATTGAACCGTGAAGCTGGCCATATAAGGTCCTGCCACAGATCTTCACTGTCACAAAAGTATGCTTTTATTGACCCTCCTGTGGATTTTTTTTTGAGCTCAGATACATATTTCTTCTTTTATTGAGTTAATAATGTTCTTTTCATGAAGAGACACAAGGAAAGAACAAACAAACAAGGTCTTGTGGGCTAGGCTGTGGTCTAATTTGTATTTACTCTGGTGAAGGAAAACTGAAGGAGTATCAGGGATGGGAGAGCAGAGAAGGTCAGTGTACTGTTCTCCAAGGAGTGGTAGGAGCAAAGGATAATCCTGTGGTTAACTCTGGAGTAGTTAGACCAGGAAAGCTATAAGATCCTGAAAAAAGATCCTCATACCTCCCAAGGCTCAGATCATGTTTTTTCCTTCTGTTAGGTGCTGCAGAGCTTCAAGATAATGGACTATAGCCTCCTGGTGTCAATCCATAACATAGATCATGCGCAGCGAGAGCCTTTAGGCAGTGAAGCACAGTGTTCAGCTGATACTCGCAGACCAGCCCCCCAAAAGGCTCTCTATTCCACAGCCATGGAATCTATCCAGGGCGAGGCTCGGCGAGGTGGCACCATGGAGACCGATGACCAGTGAGTGGACTTGGGCACCAGGAAGGAGTGTGTAGGCTCAGAGCATTTTTTTCTAGAGAGGGGTACACAGCTTCTGAGAGGAGTAGCCTTTATTCAGCAGTGAAGTCAACATTAATACTTGCAGAACTATAGAGTGAGCTTTCCTAAGAATGTAAAAGGAGAGGAAGATTCTTAAATTTGGGCTTTGTAAACCTGGAAGGAGTGCCGTTCAAAATTAAGAGACTCTTAAAAAATGTGGCTTAGAGTCTTAGATACATACCTGCAGATTGTAAGAACTTCATCAAAAACAGTTTGTTACAGACGTTTTTTTATGGATGGCATCTTTGTTACATTCATGGATCAAAGAAATAGTTACTGAAGTATCAAATGTCTTTCAGGTGGTTTCATTTTAAAGTATTCTTTATCATGATTCTCTAAGAACTAGCTCAGCTTGTAAAGAATCCACCTGCAATGCGGAAGACCCTGGTTTGATTCCTGGGTTGGGATGATCCCGTGGGGAAGGGGTAGGCTACCCACTCTAGTATTCTGGGGCTTCCCTAGGGGCTCAGTTGGTAGAGAATCTGCCTGCAGTGCGGGAAATCTGGTTTTGGTCCCTGGATTGGGAAGATCTCCTGGAGAAGGGAAAGGCTACCCACTCCAGTATTCTGGCCTTGAGAATTCCATGGACGGAGAAGCCTGGCAAGCTGCAGTTCATGGGGTTGCAGAGTCAGATAGGACTGAGCCACTTTGAGTTTTTTATGGAAGGCATCTTTGTTACATTCATGGACCAGAGAAGTGCAGTTACTGAAGTATCAAATGTCTTTTGGGTGGTTTCATTTAAAGTATTCTTTATCATGATTCTCAAGAAGAGTGTCTTAGTGGGCATAAATTAAAGTACTAGGGAGGAATTTGCTGGTGGTCCAGGGGTTGAGGGCCTGGGTTTGATTTCTGATCAGGGAACTAAAATCCCACAAGACACATGGCAGGGCAAAAAAGGAGAGTACTAAGAAAGTTTAGAGTTAATTGGGAGAGTATTCCTAAAATTGCTGAGTTCTTTTTAGATTCTTTTTGGTGAAATTGGGGTGGGAGAGGCAGGCAAGTGAAATTTGGAGAGCAAGAAGTTGTATGTAATAAATACTCCAAAGTGGCTAGGGTTGGGTGAAGGCTCTCACTCTTCCCGTTTATGGAAGATGGGATAGTTGTGCTTAGGTCTCAGTTACAGGTCTTGATTGGGTTTGAATTTAGCAGAAGCTCCTGCCTGCTAACCAGAAGATACTGTTACTCTTTCCTTTTTGTCTTCCCCAGTATGGGTGGCATCCCGGCCCGGAATAGTAAAGGGGAAAGGCTGCTGCTTTATATTGGGATCATTGACATTCTGCAGTCTTACAGGTGAGAAACATACCAATCCCAGAGTTATAGTGGATATAGACTTACTCACCTTGCTCTTTTAGATGGGTTTGTCACCAAATTCTTCCTGAAGCAAGAACAGTAAGTTGCAGTCTGGCTGCTTGCCTCACTGGGTTTCAAATGGTGGTTTATTTCCTTGGTTATGCCTGTCTCTTGACTTCCTTACCCACCATCTCACAAACATAGCATACACCTTTGTGGAAAGCTGAGTCAGTTCTCAGAAGCAGCAGGGTGGAATACGCCATCCTGCTGGCTCTTTGTGGAAAACCTGTGAGATGAGTCATACTCCACATTGGGATACAGTTGGAAACACATTCCTCTTTTCCATGGAAGAAAAACAAAGGGATCACTGTTCTGTGAGAAGTATTAGCCTGTGGGACTAAAGCAGTGGATGGTAGTGAGGGAAGAGCTGGAAATGTTAGACCCCAGTTTTGCTCCTGTAAGATTTCAGGCACTAGTGAGGACTAGACAATATTTGACCTCCCTCCAGGCTTGCCTGTCTGTCCCTACAGTTCCCCTTTTACAATAAATATTCTTGTCCCTGACTTGCCAGGATGTATTAAGTATCCTTTTCCAGTGAGAGGATAGTTGACTTACTTTAGAAACAGCTTTGATCTCCATGCTGAATAAGCACTACTCTGTCTGTTCTTTGAAAAACTATAGCATAATAGTGGGAGTGCTTTCCTGGCTTCTGTCTTTTCAAGTTTTTCTACTATGATTGCTCAAGTCTGTTAAATACAATCTATACGGTCATTCATTTAATGTGAATTCATGATGTATACATTTTTCTTGACAGGTTTGTTAAGAAGTTGGAGCATTCTTGGAAAGCTCTGGTACATGATGGGGTGAGTAGCAGTCAGCTAGAGGTGCTCCTCTTTCTGGCTCTCTCATTTCTGATTTGCCCCCTCAGTTTCCTCTTATCTTATTTCATTTGTGGGTTTTACCTTTTTGCTAGGGTCTCAGCCTAGGGAAAAATGGCCCTTAGACTAGAGATTCTCTTGCTGGGTCTCCCCTTCTCTAAACTACAGCCATCTTGTTTCCTCTGCAGGACACCGTATCAGTGCATCGCCCCAGCTTCTACGCTGAACGGTTCCAGCGTTTCATGTGCACTACAGTTTTTAAGAAGATTCCCTGTAAGTGGCTTCTGCCAGATGACCCTCCAATGGCTCTCTTACTTCAAGAGGTGGGAGCAGGACTCCTCTGTCAGGGAACTGCCAAAGCCAGAGACTTCTCTTCCTTTACCCACATCCCTTGAGAGCTGCTGCCCATCCTTATGTCAGTCACTCTGCCCCAGTCATTATCAAGTTGCTGTTTTCCCCCCTGGCAATCCCTACATGTGTTGTGGAGGTGAGGGGCATTTCTGAGAAACTGGTGGGATTGTAAAAATACTTAATTGTGGGTGTAGGATCCATGCCACAGGCTGAGGTAGGCAAAGCCAGACTTCTATGGACAGAGATAGGCAAGAATATTACTGTATCCCCAAGGCCACGGAGTTCTCAGATGAGGATCAGAAGGTTGGAGAAGCATATACTCATGTCTGCTTAGCAGATATTAGTCAACTAGAGGCTCTCCTCTTTCTGTCTCTCTCACTTCTGATTTGCTCCCTCAGTTTCCTCTTATTTCATTTGTGGGTTTTACCTTTTTGCTAGGGTCTCAGCCTAGGGAAGGGAGTTAGGAAGTGCCAGTGTTTTTTTTCCCAAACCTTCCATGCTACTGCCACTGGCAAATTCCAGCTCCTTCCTATTTCCATCTCCTCATCATAGCCATTAGTGATCCCTCAGTGAGGCAAAGAGGACCTATGCATGCCAAACAATCTTAACAAACATAGAATAATCTTTTCAAAGAGAATAAACAAGTGTAAAGTATCATCATGGTGCTATGTGTATCAAGCTCTACAAGGATATAGAGTGTCTGGTTTAACTGAAGGCTCCTATTAAAGAAAAAGGAATTACGGATTAGGAGACATGTCATAAGGTGGAAGCAAAGCCATCAGGGTTGTAGGAGGGGAGAAATGCGCATCCCTTTTCCTCTGGGTTCTCTGCTTTCTTTTCCAAAGTGACGTGAACTGAGATGCCCCCTCGTCTGATAAGCAGTTCATAGAGCCCATCTTTGTTGACATTAACGATTTTTCCTGCTTTGCAGAAGAACAACCTTGGGTTTTTGTTGGGGACACTAGCAAGTTGTATTTATGTCTTGGTGACTGTTTCTGAGGTAGGTGCTAAGTAGGCTTTCTCTTTCCCTTTTGAAGTGAAGCCCTCTCCTTCCAAAAAGTTTCGGTCTGGCTCATCTTTCTCTCGGCGAGCAGGCCCCAGCGGCAACTCCTGCGTAACTTACCAGCCATCAGTCTCTGGGGAACACAAGGCACAAGTGACAACAAAGGCGGAAGTGGAGCCAGGTCAGCGCCAGGGTTGGAGTCCCCATGTGATGGGTGCTCCCTCCCTCCCTTCTGAGCCCTTATCTTTTTCTGCTTAGGACCTCTGTTCCCCATTCCTGTTCATGAAAAGCCAAGTTGCTACATATTTTTTCCTATATTCCCCCCACCCCATTTTCTCTTCTTTTTGATTTATTGATTTTCTTCCTCTTTCTTTTTTCCAGGCGTCCACTTGGGTCGTCCTGATGTTTTACCTCAGACTCCACCTTTGGAGAAAATCAGTGAGGTCTCGACTATTCCTGACCCCTATTTCTCACCTGTAGTTGGAGAGACTTTGCAAGCGCTAACTACAAGGTTGGTTCCCTGGTCTCTTTCTCCATGTAATCTTCTCATCTCTCTCTTCAGGTCTTTTGAGAACTTCCATAATTTTGTTGGTTTGTTTTTTTTGTTCCCCGGATTTTATTGTCTTTTGCTCTTCACTATATTTTTGCACGTTCATCTTCCTAAGAGCTCATCTTTAGTGATTTGGAAAGGTGTATCAACATCTCTGTGTTTTTAGGGGTGTTGGGAAACCCTTATGTACAAACTTTTCTGATATTTAATCAGAATATCTTAATAAACGCTTCATTTCCTGATGACTTAAGTGAGAATTCTTAGCTTAGGATTTAAGGCTGGGAGGATTCCTAGGCACTGAAGACAGTGAACAGTCAGCCTTTCAAAAGGATCTGTTATATGGATTGTGAGTTCGTTTTGTTTTTGGTGTGTTGATCACCTGTTACATCATAATGTACCCAAAAACTTAGTGACTTAAAACAACATACATATATCATGGTTTCTGTGAGTCAGAAATCCAGGTGCAGTGTAACTGGGTTCTTGACTCAAGATTTTTCATGACATGATAGTTACACGTTGGCTAGGGCTAGGCTCATCTTAAGGCCAACTGAGAGGCTTCACTTCACGTTTATGTGCTCTTTGACAGGATTCAGTTTCTGGTGAGTTGCTGGACTGAGGGCCTTGGTTCCTTGCTGACTGTTTTCTGGGAGCCTCCTTTAGTTCTTGGCCACATGAGCCTCTCCAGAGGATAACTCAGAACATGGCAGCCGGCTTCACTTAGCATAGGCAAGTGAGAGTGCATGTACCTAAGCATGTATCAGGAAGTAGGGATCACTTTGGACCTGTGGAACTAATAAAAGAGACAGGCTATCTTCTCCCCATACACCAGCATACCACGATGAGACAAACAAGCAAGAAAGTAAAAAATCTTTACACATTCCTGCACAAAAAATGGAAAATAGGAGGCACAGAGGAGCCTAAAATCCAGCAAATGCTGGAGTTTTCTTTTTCTTTTTTTTTTGAGTTTTCTTTTATCACGTCTCAAAGCATGAGAATAATGCATGACTTTTGGCTTTACCTTTTGGACTCTTGGTTTTGCCTTCTGAGTCTTCATGAAAACTAGAATGTGCTTGCACCTGAGTCATTTTCTCAGCCTACTTGCCAGAATTTTGAAGATCCAGTGGTTTCTTCATTGTGTACTATTTCTGTCTTTTTTAGTCCAAGCAGGACAGTGTGTCTGTTGCTCTAATGCTCTCAGAGATTTTATGGGCTTCCTATGAATCTCACTGGGATTTACTGTTATACCAAAGCCATACCCACAAATACCTTCTGATAAGCTCTATGCTTCTTAGAGATCCTGTTCAAGTTGAGAGGATCTGAGAGACATACCCTTAATCTTTTGAATGTCCTTTCTTATGACTCAATAGTACTTTGAGTTCTTAACAGATGTTTTATAGTTACACCCATGGCTTCATCTATAGACCACATTTTCCTAGCAGTGCCTTAGATTTTATCCATTTGTTAATTTTAGCATTACTTGCTATCTAGGGAGGCTCAGAATTTTCAAAACCTTCAAGTCTTGGCTTCTTTTTGTTTCCTAGTCCTTCCCTTCATATATTTTTCTCCTGTCATATTTCACTGTAAGCATTAAGAAGAAACCAGGTGGCACCTTCAGCACTTGGTTTAGAAATCTCCTTAGCTAGGTCACCCAGTCCATTAGGCACATACTCTACTTTCCACATAAGTATAGATGACATTGTCACTACACTTTGTTCCACTACATTGCAAAGATCCCCTTTCCTTCAATTTCCAATAAGATTTTTCTCACTTCCCTTTAAGCCCTTACCGGCAAACCCCTTATAGTCCAGAATTCTTCAGCACACTTTTAAACTTCCACTGAAACTATCCTCAAAGCCCATTTTTCTCTTCCAAAGCCACTTCTACATTTTAGATTTTTATTACAGCAGCATTTCATTTCCAGGTACAAAAATTTGTATTACCTGTTGTGAAATAAATTACCCCAAATTTTAGCAGCTGAAAACAACAAATGTTGTTATCTCAGATTTTATGTGGCTTAAGAATCTGGGTATGGCTTAGCTGGGTGCCTTTGGCTCAGAGTCTCTCAGGAGATTACAGTCAAGCTGTTAGCCAGCAGTGTGGTCTCATCTGAAGGCTTGCCCAGGGAGGAGGATCTGCTTCCAAGCTTCTGTGGTTGTTGGCCGGATTCAGTTTCTTGCAGGCTCCTGGGCTGAGGGTTCCTTGTTGGCTATTGGCTGGAGGTATTCCTCAGTTCCTCTTCACATGGTCCTCTCCATGATGCAGTTCACAGCATTGCCACAGCTTCCTCAGAGCAAACAAATTGGAGAGCATGTGCCCAAGAGGATACTACATAGCCTAATCTCAGAATTGATTTCCATCACCTGTGGTGCATTCTCTTCGCTAGAACAGAGTCTCTTTAAGTGCAGCCCACACTTGAGGAGAAAATGACATGATGGCATGACTATCAGGTGGCAGTGATTGTTGGGTGCCTACCACACCTGGGGATTGAAAGTAGTAGTGAGGAGGGTGTTAAGGAAGTATTTTATAGAAGTCAAGAAACTATTAATTAAAAGAATGTGCTTCCAGATCTAGTAACTCAGTCCCTTCTTTCTGAATTCTAAGTTGATTCCCAGTGAAATATGGAGAAGCAGTCTGAGATTTGACCTGAGAGCTCTTTTCCTCATTTATTTACTCATTTTTCTTTCTGCCCCCATTTTTTTTCCCCACTCCTGTTAGTTCAACCCTCTTGGAAAAACATGAAGTTCCAGAGTCAGAGTTCGTCCATGTAAGTTTCTGGGATGTGGGGGAGGTGGCTGCTTTGAAAGGGTATAAACAGCACCACTGATGGAGTAGAGCAAGGAAGTAGTTGTCAGGGTTAGGGGGACTGGGTGTCCCCCTTCCCTTAAATCTTACTTTAAAAATTTTTGGTTTGGTGGTGGTGGGGGGGGGGGGGTGGATTTTTGCTTTTGTTTTGGTTTTGGTTTTGGTACTGTGTTCTTGGAACCTGAGACTGGACTAGAAGGAAACTTTTTAGGTCTGCCATCTAGGTTGAAATTAACTTGAATTCCTTTCCTGTCCCCTTATCTCATACTCTACATCCTTAACTTTATACACTTTACCTTTTCAGTGAGCAAAAATCCTCAGAAGACTTGGAGCGAGACTCAACCACCTCTGTGATCCCAAGATGTCAGCCCTTGACCCAGCAGTGCTGAGTTTTCTTTTTCATGGTCATCAAAAAAGGAGTGCAGTGGAAGCTAGGAGAGCTCTCCATTTCCCCCGAAGAAGAAGAACCTTTTCTCCTTTCCCTTCCTTATGAATGGGCATTAGTGCCGGGACAGTTGAGGACGGCAGCATCCTCTCCACTCCCAAGTTGGGTGAAACCAGTTTTCAACTCACCAGCCTTGGCTTCCACAACTGAATGATTTCAGATCCCCCTTCTTCCTGTTGGAAGTGGGGTTGCTGGACTTGGCGATTTTCTTTCCCCCTCATCTACCTTTCATCAGGAGCTGGACTCTTTAATTTCCTCAGGACAGACTGGCTGGTACCTTATCCCTACCTTAACTCTTTCTCTGGAAGAAGACTCCTGTAATCTTTGTAAAGGTTTTTTGGGGGGGTGTTTAACCTCCCATCCCTCTCCTTTTGTTTCCTTAAAAAAGGAAAAGGAAAATAGCACACAATTTCAAACCAGTTTTCAGATCAAAACTCCAGAAGTATTGGAGAGATGCCTATCCACAGGGTTCCCTCAGAAGAGCCCTGGTATTTGAGAAACAGAAGGTGGTGACTGCTCTGCTAGGAGCAGTTCCTCTTTAACTCCTCCTCTCTTAATGAATTTCTTAAGGCTGAAGGAATGGAGAGAGTGGGACACGGGGTAGTCTTTACCCCTTTTGTTAAACAGTGGTGCAGTCTTGGGGCTCACAGGTCAGAACCCTTTCTAGGCAGAACCCTACTCACTGCCAGGCCATAATCATTATTACTGTTTTGCAATTTGAAATGTATTCTGCTTGTTTTTCTAAATATGAAGACTTATCAAATGAATTTTAGATTTCTTCTCCAAAGGAGATGTCTTCCTTGCTCTTCCCACCTTTTCCTACAGTGTTCTGCTGTTAGTGGAGCTGAGATGGAGATGGGGATACCTGTCTGTTGAACAGGTAACTGTGAGGCTAGAGAATGTTCTCTTAAACGCATAGGGAGCCAGCAGATTCCTGCCTTAGTGCAGTCATTGCTGTGCCCCACACCCTGCCGCCTCTCTTCACGCAGAGAACGTGGACATGGGGGCTGTGTAATCCCTCTTCTCCCTGTGTTCACCATCTGGTCCTCCTCCTCCTCTCAGGGGAAGAAGGGGTCCTGGTGTGTCTGGCAGATTGTTGAATCCCTGTACTGTCCCCCTCCATCCCACCCTGCCTTGATAGTAGCTTAGTCCACACCCTGAGTAACTGTCTATATTAGACACCCCCAGCCAGTTTCTGGCTGCCTGTCTTTGCTGCCATGTTCTTTTTTACAAGAAGGAAAGAAACAATTCTTGCTATTTTTTTTTCATAATTTACTATTTATGATGTATTTAAGTGTTTTATTCAGGACAGAGTTCTGTCATGGGTGGGAGGGAATACTTGAGGGAGGCTTAAGGACAGGAATGGGGAGTCAACATTTTTATGAAGTGTCACTATTTGCCTCTACTTTGTATTGTTCAGAAATGGCAAATACAATATAAAAGCGATAAGTATCTGGTTTTAATGCATTAAACTTTTGTCAGTTATTTAGACTTCTTGCTTCCTCTTGATTCTTTTTCATACACCATCTGCTCCACCCTTCTACCCCAGGCTGTTTTGTTCATATTACCCGGAATGAATGCATCCTTTCCAGTTTTTCTCACTCCAGCTTTGGACTAACTCAGGCTGAGAGAAATGATTTCATTCATTACCTTCTGGCCACCTCCTCCATCCTTAACTTGACAAGGAAAAGCTGTGAATGACTAGAAAATGAATTAATGTAGGTCTGTTGCCTAGGGATTTGGGGATCCAAAGCTCAAAATTTTGCTTGGCTTTAGGAGGAAAGGAGAGCGACAGTGGGAAAAGCAAGCTTAAGATTTGTTGGCCCTAGGATTCTCTCCCTTTCCTTCCCTCAACTTGGCCCCACGTTTTCTTAGGAAAGCATAGAGACTGCTTTCCTCAGCCATGTGTTTTTCTGTGAGGTTGAGGTTAGGATGTTCCCCTCCATACCACTATTCCCTACTTTGTTAAGATCATTCTACAAATATTTATGCAGCAGCTAATGAGTAAGAACAGTCAATGCACTGGGCAGTTGAAGGTTAAAAGAAGTAATTGATCTTACTTAAAGGGTTTACAGAGTCCAGAAGAGTACAACATACATGCACACAAAAAGAATACATGAGATGTGATTTCTGAAAGAGTGGTATAGAGCATAAAATATGGAAGAAAATTAGAAGTGGACTTCCCTGGTGGTCCAGTGGTTAAGAATCCCCCTGCCAAAGCAAGAGACATGAGTTCGATCCCTGCTCCATGAAGGTTCCACATGCCAAGGGGCAGCTAAGCCTGTGCTATACAGAGCACGCTCACTGGAACTAGAGAAAGCCCATGTGCAGCAGGGAAAACCCAGTGCAGTCAAAAGGGAAGTTTTTTAAAAGAAAATTATAGAGGTTACTGTGGGCCTGAAGTGTTGGGGAAAGTTTCACTTGAGCACAAGGGCCTAGAAGTCTGAGAATGGGCATGAGTGCTGGGACAGTTGACAGCAGCACTGTCTCCACTCCAAACAGAATGGTCTGTTGTAGAGAGCAAGGAAGAGACCATGGTGAAAGCAAAGGTGGAGGGAGACCCGAGGGAGAATATTGGAATGAGTATGGGTGGAGGCGACACTGGAAACCCTGGCTGCTAAGCTGAGGGATTTTTATTTTAAGCTGCAGTCAGTGGGGGAAGTGTAGAATGTTTCTGTCCATAAGTGGGAGGTAAAAGAATTCCAAAGTCAATCTGATTACAGTTCTATCACAGCAGATAGAAAAAGTTGACAAGTTAGATGGATAATTTAGGTGTGAAGTAATGTGCATTTAGGATGTTGGCAATACCCAACTGGAGAGGAAGGAAGAGAATTGAGATGGTAATACATTTTATGATGGAACAAGTAACTGGAATGAAGGAGGAATTGAGGATTCTCAAAGTTTTGAATTTTAATTTAAGCCAGAGGCTCAGTCCTCCTTTAAACTGGATAAGAAGACTTTTCCCCAAATAAGAATTGAATATGAACATATTTTAGGGGAAAAATGATCCTGCTGCTGCTCTTAGCTTGTCACTCTTCAACATGCTCAGGCACCTGCTGTGTGTACTAGATACCCTCTGATGGTCAGAGGCTCCCTCTAGTGGTGAGCAGCAGCTACTACTTCACAGCTATACCCTGCCATCTAGATTAGATTCACTTGCAAGTAGGGCCTATTCCAAAAATGAGGAAAATCAGTCTATAGGATATATAACCTGGAAATCCTAGTCTAATGTTTTACTCTTAAACATGTCAATCTCAGCTAGTCAAAAAAGTTATTTACCACGGTTGGAGTCTCATTCATTCTTTATTTTTTTTTAATTCATTCTTTAAACAAAGAGTTGCTAGTTAAAAGTAGATTTCAGATTAAATTGTTCATTCTGTAGCTTTTTAAAGACACAAAAACAAATCAGTATCTTTTGTAAAATTATTTCTTAAAAGTTCATCAAGGGGACTTCCCTGGTGGTCCGGTGGCTAAGACTCTGCACTCCCAGTGTAGGGGGACCAGATTTGATTCCTGGTCAGGGAACTAGATCCCTCTTGCTGCAAATAAGACCTGGTGCAGCCAAATAATTTATTTTTAAAGTTCATTAGACATCAGCTGTTTCCAATTTTTCCTCTCTTTCAAAAAAATTTTCTTTAAACTTTATTATGGAAAATTTCAAGCTAAAAATATGGTAAATTGACATGTATGCATCACCCAGCTTCAATACTTGTCTGTAAATAGGGCCAATCTGTTTGATCTATACCTTCTACCCCACCCTTCCCTTCTCTCTCCACCTCCAAAGGATTATGTTAAATTCCACACAGGGACTCACCTGGACTTACATGGTGGTCCAGTTGCTAAGACTGCTCGGTGGAGGGAGCCTGGGTTCAGTTCCTGGTCGGGGAACTAGCTCCCACATGCTGCAACTAAGACCTGGCACAGCCAAATAAATAAATATTGTTTTTAAAATCCCAGACAAAAGCAACTACACCCCAATAAAAAAAATCTCAATCATCGTATCATTTCATGCATAAACACCTCAACATATAGGTCAAGAGCTAAAGGTGCAATGATATTATCATGCCTTTTAAAATTAATAATTCCTTAATAATATCCAGTGATCAAAGTTAGAAAACTGGTCTTAGAAATGAATTTTTACAAATAGCTTTTTGACCCCAGTCTCTTGAACTCTAAGGTCACTGATGACCTTCATGTTGCTAAATATATCAGTCCTCATCTTACTTGACAGGTCAGCAGCATCTGAGTTTGTTACTCACTCCTAGAAATAAATATTTTCTTCATTTAGCTTCTGGGATACCACGTGCTTTCTCCTGGTTGTCCTTACGAAGGTGCTGCTGCACTGCTCCATCTCCATCCTCTTTTCTGGTTCCTCCTTTTCTCTCTAGCCTCAAAATGTATGATTAAGTCCAGGGCTCAACCATAGGACCCCTTCTTTTAGTCTACATTCACTCTCAAAGTCCTAAAGGCCCTGTATCATTTGTCCAACTCCCCTGTCACCTCATGATCAACTAAAAACTCCCAAATTTCTATCTCTAGCCCAGATTTTTTTTTTGAACGCAACTCATATCTACCCACTTACTTGACATCTCCATTTAGGGGTCTAATAAGCATCTTAAACCTAATATATGTCCAAAACTGAATCGCTGGTTCCTGCCCCTCCTAGCCCATCTTCAGAAATAGTGACTCCGTTCTTCTAGTTGCTTAGAACCAACTCTAATAACCCCTTAACACCCCCTTTCCTTACATCCTCCATCAAATCCATTGGCAAATTTTCTAAGTTTTGTATCTTAGAAATTTGGGGGGGAGGGGTGGGGTGGGCCAAGCGGCATGTGATGTCTTAGTTTCCTGACCCAGGGATCAAACCCATGACCTTTGCACTGGGAGCATGGAGTCCTAACCACTGGACTGCCAGGGAAATCCCTAAGTTTTATATCTTATGACATATGCAAAATTCATCCATATGTCACTATTTTCACATCTTGTTAACACACTACAGTAAGCCACTATCATACCTGATCATTGAAACGGTCTCCTAACTGGTCTGTATCCTATTTTTCCCCTACAGTCTGTTCTCAATGCAGAAGCCAGAGTGATCTGTTAAAACACAGACCCTCTGCTGGAAGTTTCCAACAGCTCCTATCTCAGAGTCCTTAAAATAATCTTTCCTGCTGTACATAATCCAACCTTTCTTCTCCCTTTGCCTTTCTGGTCTCATTTCTTCTCTCCCTCTACTCTAGTCTCTGCTGGCCATCATGTTCTTAAATACACTCTTGCCTTGGAGTATTTGCACTTTCTCTTTTCCCCAGGTATCCTTCAGGTCTCTTCAATTGTAAGTCTTCCCTAATGTCTTGTTTATATATAAACACCCACACATCCACCCTAGTTTCATCATTATTCAACATTGACTTATTGGTTTATTATCTGCCTTCCCCCATAGAATGCAAGTTCCACAAAGGCAGACTTTATTTTGTCCCCTTCCAAGTGCCTAGAATAGGGTCTGACCCACAGGTAAATGAATTGTTTTTGCTTTTTTTCATATTAGAGCTCTTGTTTTACTGAACTCTGATCCTATCAGATTTCACCTCTCATGATCTCATGATCATTCTTGCAACTCACATATCTCTTCATTGAAAAGCTCTGACATAGTTCTAACAGGACATCTTCTGTATGAAGAGAGTATGAATTCTGCATTCTCCAGGTTGAATCAAATCCATCATATTGGACCTATTTACTAACTCATTTTTTTATGACCACTCTATTTTGTATTTGCAATATCTACAAGGACTTTTCAAAGTGTAATTAAAAACTGGTCACAATCTGTTAAATATCTGACTAAAGCTGAGATGGTGACAGACAACCTCCCTGTATAGACATCATGAATCCCAAAACAGTGATGACAGTATTAATTCACTTCCTTTAGTTTGGGCTGAATGTTTTATCTACTTATACATTTTAGAAGAATACTAATTTATAATAATTCCTGATGTTCAAATTGTCTTTAGAGTTGCATTATCCTGATTAACTCAGAAAGTTTTTTGTTGTTGAATCTTATATTTTATGAAATACTTTGGATCTGACTTCACCGATTTGTGTTGTTTTCTATTTGTGCAAAATGTATATGGCTGGGCTTTCAGGTAGCTCAGCTGGTAAAGAATCCGCCTGCAGTTCAGGAGACCCTGGTTTCTATTTGTACAATATTTATATAGCTACGCATGCTTTCTTTTATTACTATTGCCTGATATGTTGTTTTTTTCCTTTCCTTTTATTTTTTACCTTTTGTCAGTTTGGTATGTCCTATATTCATATTTTGTTTATATTTGAACTTTTCACTAATGATTTTTCTATGCTTTATTTTTCTTCCTTTCCTTGTCTATGATTATAGTAACAGATTTTTTTTCCTTAGTAATACAGAGATTTTACTCCTATACCTTTAATGGTCACCAATAACTTTTGAACATATCCATTAAAACTTTATCAATATCTATGTA